TGTCCTCAGAATAGCAGCCGAGAGGCTCTGGAGGCAGGAACGGTTCAACAGTCTGCTGGGTTCTATCAGAGAAAGCTTCATGGATTAATGTGCTGGTTTGTTTCCTCCGACAGAAGACTTCATTCAGACTGTGGTTCTGTTGGACCAACACGCTGAAATCCAGACTAAATCTAACTTACGGTGAATTCTCACATTTAAGGAACCATGAAGCTGTTGGTGTGTTTGGCTGCTTGGTGACAGAACGGAGAGGAAATATAAACACAGGAATGCATCACATCATAGAAATAAATAACTCATACAATCACGTCAGGGCTGATGATGAAACTAAATGATTATTGATCGCTTTCTTTCAACATGGACCCACAGGAATTAATGTTTAATCAGATTTTATTGAAGACACACACTGAAACACACACAAATAAACACATAAGTGAATCAAGATTTAAGCTCAGAATCACTTTATTCTACTTTATATCTTAAAATGTGCAGAAAACAAGCAGCAGAATATAATAAATGATAATAAATGTCAGCTGTTAGAGGAGCATTAATGACACTTTATCTACGTATTTCCATGTTCATGCTGCAGATGGTTGTGATTATTTGTTGATTTACAGAAATGATTGAATCCTCTGATTCCTAAAACCTGCCTTCAGGTTTAAAAGGCCGTGTTTTTAAAAAATCTCCCAACTTACACCGTTTAGACTCAGCGGACATGAAACTTTCAGACGTACGTCAGTCTGGAAGAAATCTATCAGATGACTTTGTTCTCCAGGTCTGGTTTAAAATCAGGTTTTAAACTGTTTGTAGAAACTAGACTCAGTAAAAAACTAAAGAATTCTGTGTTTCTCGACACAAACAAGAAGTTTTTAGTAGTTTGGTTGAACAGCAGCAGACGAGACGAACACAAAGAGAAACTAGAGAGTCGAATATTTAAGAAGTTATTTGAGTAATTCAGACCAGAGGAAACAGATATTTGCACATTTTGGATTCATAAACTTAAAAGTAAAAAAAAAAGAAAAACCTGTCGGGCCAAAAGTCTAAAAATATCCACATGGTTTGTTTTGTTTTTTAAATCTTTGGACATGAAATTCTAGTTTTTTTTTCCTGATTAAAACCTGCAAAAAACACATTTTTTGCAGATATTTGTTGTAACTTGGAAGAAAAATCACGTTAAAAATGAAATCCGCTGATCGATTATCGATTATCGGAGCTTTTATCGGCGGGACTTTGTGAAGCTTTACACTCACTGAGCCGCTCGATAATCAGAAGCAGGAACAGTCCAGGTTCCCCACGGAGACACACACACACACACACACACACACACACACACACACACACACAGAGGAGTGTGTGTGTGTCACTTCCTGTTGGCAGCACCAGATGGTGGAATGCTGGGAATGTTGCTGTGTTGTTATTAAAGCGTTTGTGCGGTTTTAAGGGAAGTGAAAGTAAAGATTCTGCTGCGATTCTTCTTCTGCTCTTTAATTTTCTCTTTTAACACCATTTATTATTATTATTATTCTTTCAGATGAGATAAACCGTGTTGTTGTCACAGCAGCAGAAATAAATGGCAGATATTGACGGATGTTTTCTATATTTGGAGTAAAAATCAAAGAACAACAGCTGTTTGTTAGCTGAACAGTCATCATGTCGTGGACTCGCAGCAGAAGCATGAAGCTGGTAGCTCCTGGCTGTTCTTTCTGCTCCTCTGTGGATTCATTCTTCACAGCGATTTAAAGTCCTGCATCTCTGGAAGCAGAACAACCAGAACTAGAGGGAACAGGACTGTCTCTAGTGCAGTTTGACACGGTTATAATACCATAAATCATAAAAAACAAGCTGAATTATTTACTTCACAAACAATTTAAAAACCCAAATTCAACATGTGCATCATCTTTCTAAACGCCCACCGCTGCTCCTGATCTATAGATAAAAGAAAACGCCTCCACAGACGAAGATATTTCACTGTTTACGTTAATAATCTGTTTCTGTGCTGCTGCTCTGAGTGACGCTGCCTTCAGGTCACCTGGAAACTCCGTCGGTCAGACCGAGTCTCTGACGGACAGCAGAGGTTTTATTGTTTTACAGAATCTGTTTTGGTGAATGTTTGAAGGAGACATGTCGAGTAAAGTGATCTGGACTGGGTTCATTCTTCTGATGAGTAGTTCAAGGACGGTGGGAAAGTCTGGCTTTACAGTTTCTGGCAGCAACAGGGTTCAGAAGGTGAGATGTTCTAGTTAGTTTTGACTTATTTAGGTGGTAAATATGACGTTTATGGAGACACAAATGGTCAGAAATAATAAATAAAAGGAGCAGAGAGTCAGAGGTAACATCTAAATGTGAGAACTGGATCTTCCACCAGTTCAACCAGTTAAACCACAGCCGGCCGTCGGTCCCAGCAGCAGGAGAACTCTCCTCGTCAGCTCCACCGCCGCCGCCGGCCGCCGCTGACCTCACAGGAATGCGTTTGTGCGTCGGTGTGAAATTCACCACCGCCGCGACACAAGTTTGAACCCTGAACGCAGCGCCGGCTCCGGACCGAGCGGCCTCCGTGGAAACGACCCCGAGGCCTCGGCGCCGGATGAATGGTGCGTTTGGTTCGTCCGCCCCGAGGCGCCGATCCACGAGGGAGCCGGGTGACGGAGGGAAAAACCCGGCGTGACGCTCGGCTCTCGGGGCGATGATGTCGTCGTTCAGATCATCAGAGGAGCAGAAAGAGCTGCAGGAGATCAGACGCTGGTCCATCTGCTGCCGCTTTGCTGCGACCCGACCTCTGACCCGCTGCTCCGCTGGCTGGTTCTGGTTAGTCAGGAAAGAACCGGATTCACTGAACGGAGTCAGGGTTCAGGTTTAATCAGAACCAGTCTGTAGTGGTTTTAAGCCTCACTGTAAAAAAACAAAACAATTATTGACTTTTTAAAACAAGTCACTGGAGTTTCTTGCTTTCAGTAAATAACTAATATCTCATAAATTATAAATTAAATAATTTAAAAAAATGAATCACACATTGACCTTAAAACAAGCTAAACCGGGTCAGAGCTGTGAATACCGTCCACCCTGACCTGTTTACAGAACTACGTTTACATTCGTTTATTTTTTACGGTGAACTTCCGACACCCTTCGTCTGTGAATCTCAGAAATGGGCGTCGGCTGCAGGAAGTCGTCTTCAGCGCCGCCTTGTCGGGCGTCCGACCTTCGCTCCGGTTTTATCTCATCGATCCACTCACCTGCTGCCAGCAGAAATGAAACCGGGCGGAGACGGTTCTAATCAGCGGGTCCAAGGTTCTGTTTGTGAACTCCAGTGACTCCGATTCGTGGATTCTTCGCACGCTGACGACGGTTCTCCACCCCGGCGTGGTGAGCAGAAGTCATGGGAGGATATTTGTTCCTTGTATTGTCTTCGGCCGTGACCTCTGACCTCCAGGATGTGCAGCTGATTGGCCGGCCGGCTCCGCCTCTCTCCAGCGTCTTCCTGAGCGAGTGTGTGTCGGTGTGTGTTGATTGACAGCTGGATCAAACAGGAAGCGGCGGCAGGAAGCACATCTCCACAACAGGCTCTAATATTAGAGCCAGAGTTTGTCAGGATGTTTGGACGTCGGCGCAGAGCGATGAGCTGCAGGAGCCAGAACTCTGCTCCCCTTCGCTCCGCACGCGCTCACAACGAGGCAGCGTCGCCACGGTGACAAGATCATCCAGATAGTGGTGGCGTTTCCACGACGTCGGTCCGTTTTCACAAGAATGTTTTAAACTTTCTGCTAAAAATAGTCCAAACTCTGAGACTCCGGCTTCGAGTCCATTTAGAGAAACACCTGCACCTCCACAGACCTCCATGAACCCACATCGTGTACCTGAGACACCAGAACACTTCAGTTCTCTCTGTTGTTGTCATTTCTACTGGGTCACATCCAGCCAGCTTCACTTTGACTGAGATCATCTGTTCTTAGAAATGAACTCTGTATTTTCTGTCTCCTTCCTCTGTGACGGTGGACTGAACATCTTCAGCTTGTGGACGAGTCTTGGTGGTCTCGGAGCTGCTGGTGGTTCTGAGCTACAGAAGGTTACTGGATCAGTGTCATTAACGATCACTTGGTGGATCTGAAGCTAATTACGGAGCAAAGCTTGAACGTTTGTGCGTCCAGGAACAGGAACGATGAGAAACCAGCAGGTGATTCCTCGGCAGGTCGACTGGTCCGACAGAACCTCCTGGACTTCTTACAACCAGGAAGTCCTCGGTTTCAGTGACACATCCTGATCTACAGCCTACGAACTGAACATCACAAACGGTCCCTTCAAGGTTCTGGTGATTCTGGATCCTGATCAACATAAATGAGAAAGTGATGCTGAAAGTGGTGAAAAAAAACAAAAAACTGCAGCTTTGTTTTGCAGAACAAACACAAGAATCGACGTCGAAATCACACAATGTGAGCCCAGAAAGAAACGTAGAAATCTGAAACAAAAACACAGAGAAAAAAAGTTTATCTATGAAACCAGCAGCTTGTTGTTTAAAGGTGGCTTATCTGGTGTATTAGGATCTATGATTTAGTTTGTTAACAACTAAATGATGTCATTCGTCCAGTTATTGCTGAATATTTATGAAAAAGTGGCTTAAAAAAGGTCATTTTTCAAAAACCTGCAACTGAAAAAAGTCACAAACAGTCGACATAAATCACACAAACAGTTTTAAAAGTAGAATAAAAAATGTTCAGAACAAACATGTGGAGAATCATCTTCAGCCCTCTGGACCGGTACCAGGGTTCTGTTTCTGGCTCCACTTCCTGCTCAGCCCTCACTCTCTCTCTCTCTCTGTTTGTGCTGCTCTCTCGCCCTCCTCCCACTCCTCCCCGTATGCTAATGAGCCGATGACATCACCGCCCAAACCGAGGGCTGTGATTGGCCGCTGGGAGGAGCTGTGGCTCCGGCTGGCGGCCCCTCCCCCCTCCACTCTCCCTCCGTCTGAAAGGTGTTTTCAGTGTCTGAGCTGCTGCTGAACACCGGAGACGCACGGAGCTGCTCCTTCTCCTCCGTCCACGTTTCCTCCTCCGTCCACGTTTCCTCCTCCACCTCCTCTACCACCACCACCTCCTCCTCCTCTCCAGAGCTCCTCTCAGGCGGAGGATGTGTGGGCTCCTGAGCGGAGGGAAGGTGTGATCTCGGCGGTGACAGATGGATGTTGGAGGGAGAACATGATGCCGCCGCCGCCGTGCGTCTGCTGAGCCAGCGATTCCTGCCGGTGGCATCGGGAGGACGAGTCCACGTATGTTTGTGTTCAGCGCTCAGGACGTGGAGCAGCTTCTTCTCAGCTCCATCTGGAGGCTTTCTGGGATTACTGGCAGCTGCTGTGCATTTTGATCTCAGGTTTGATTGAGTTCAGATACTTTAAACTCTTTAATTCAAGTCGAGCTTTGCTCTGCTGGAAGTTTCCCGTCCGGCGCCGTCCTGCTGGACTCTCCTGGACTCTCCTGGACTCTCCTGGATTCTCTTTCTTCTTCATGCCTTTGTGGATCTGTTGAGTCTCCTGGAGGTTCATCATGGAGCTTCAGGCCGGCCCCATCTCGCCGCTTCCCCTCTCCCCGACCTCTGACTATGCCGGGCCCCTCTCGCCGGCGTCGGGCGGCCCCGGCCCGTCCAGCGGCGCCAGCCCGGGCAGGGGCCCGAGCCCCAACCTCAGCCCCATCAGGGGCCCCAGCCCCGGCCCCGGCTTCTCCGGCCAGGCCGCCTTCAACTACAACCAGCTGGAGGGCAGGTTCAAGCAGCTCCAAGGTAGGAAACCAGGAGAGAGGTCCACATGGGCCCTCTGGGGGTTCTGGTCGGTGGATAAACTTCATGAGAACTTCAGGAGTCACACGGAGCAGATTTCTATCTGATGATTCATCAGATGTGTGAAGTTTATCAGTGTGAGAGTTTGAATGAGTCAGCAGGCCTTATCTCAGAACCCCACCCTGCTGGGCCGGGCCGGGCCGGCTGCTCGCTGCCTTGCTCAGCGGCAGCAGGCAGCTCACACACACCTCACACACACCTCACACACACACACACACACACACACCTCACACACACACACACACACACCTCACACACACACGTCATGTCTGAGGTTTCCTCCAAGTTTAGCTCCTGTTTGGGTTTTTCTTTAAGATAGAAGCAGATCTGATCCTCAGATGTTCAACTTCTGTGCAGTTCTGCTGGAAAATGGTCCAAATCTGAGGCTCATTTCAGGAGATTTCATCAGAACCGAGCTCACCTCACCCAGATTCTGTCATGTGGTTGTCAGACGTCCAGAGAGGTTTGGTCTCCTCAGTCAGCAGGGCGTTGACCCGCTGAGAGACGATCCGTTGGTCCGTCAGCGCTCCTATTTCTGGACGTGGATTCACAAACACTTCAGTCATCGTTAGATCCATCAGACTGAGCTAATCATCGTTACTGTCGGGTTAATTAATCATCTCTGTCTCAGGACCTGCCGGCAGGTTTTAAAGGCGTTATGTTTGTTAAAAAAATCACCAAAATTACATCATTCAGCAGAATAAAAAACTGTAAAAGCAGAAAAAATCCTCAGATTCTCAGCTTTCCGACGGTCCTCGAACTGCTCGTCTGCGATTCACTGCTCAGTCGAGAAAATTAAACAAATATACGCTTAAAATCTACCAAAACCGCTTCATCCTACAGGAGTCGGTTAAAGAAAACAAACCATTTGCACCAAACAGGTTCTGTAAAGGAGGAAAAGTTCTGTGCAGCCATGAGGTCACGAGTGACTCAGCTGGTACCGACAGTCAGCTGGTACCGACAGTCAGCTGGTACCGACAGTCAGCTGACTAGAATTCACAGACTTCTCGACTGAACTGCAGGAAGTGTTTGCACAGAGCAGGGAGGCTGAGAGGATAAAAACATGTTCAGCTGTATAACTCTGCTCTCTGAGTCCTCTCTCCTTCTGGTCCGGGTTGTTCTGGTTCCGTAGAGCTGCAGAACTTTATGATGCAGTAAAAAACAAGCTCATAGTGAAGAAACATGTAGTGGGAACAAAAACGACGCTGCCTGGAGCTCAGAGGGTTAACGTTCCTCAAGTCTGAACAAACGTCCTTCTGAAGCTGCTGGAAACTCGTCCTAGACCTGGTTACCAGGTAGTTTACCAGCTAACTTGATTAACGGGTAGTTTACCAGCTAACCTGGTTAACGGGTAGTTTGTCAGCTAAGCCAACTACAACCAGTCAGTCCAGTTCAGCAGACTGACTTCTGGGCTGGAACCTTCAGAATAAAGTTCCGCTCTGAGCATCGCTGACCTACAGCAGACCGACCGTTCTGACCTTTGCGAGCAGATTCCAGCTGATAAGTTTCTGGATTTTTTGTCATGTGACTGTCGGCGGCGGCGGAGTCACTGATGGCTTCACTTTTGTGCCAAGCGGTGCAGAATTTTTAGTCTTTTACAGAATCCGATTCGTGCGAACGGTTTATTTTTGGTGAATTTTTCAAACGAGCCACGTTGAATTTGATGAACTGTTGTGATGTTGAGCGCAGTTCGGTCACAGATGAGGAGTTCGAGGTCTGTTAGAAAGTTGGAAATCTGATTCTTCTTTCTGTTTTTACAGCTTCTCGTTCTGATAAATGGTGGAATTCATTTATGTTGGTCTACACAAAGGTCTAGTGTTCATGATGAATTTATTTATTTTTGTCCTTTCCATCCTCGTCTTCAGACTGAAGGCGCTCACAGCAGAATGTGCAGCCCGTAAACGGGCCGCTGACCCGCTCCAGCTCGTTATTTCATCATTTTAATCGCCGTCACGTTGCTGGAAACTCGCTAAACAATCTCTGCGCGACACAATGCTCGTATTGAGGCAGCAGCTGCTGACAGATGTTCACTTGTTTCTGGAACGAGCTCACGAAGCGTAAAAGCCCACCGGACCACGTCCACGCCGGCGCTGGCCCGTTAGCGGAGAGCTGCAGGAAGGCCGGGGTGTAAAATTAGCAGCTGAAGGCTAATGGAGCCGATGTTCTGATCCGAGTGCCATCGACCCGAAGAAAACCTTGAGCGTCTAAAAGTAGCTGAAGGAGACGAAGTCGGGCTGACTTCAGCCTCCTGGTGGGTTCTGGTGTCGGACATCAGAGACCTCATAGAGACTGAACTGTTCACATGTGTGCAACCTCCAGAACCGGGTTCCTCTGCTCCACTCACCATCTACAGATGTTCCACTGTGCTGGACGCATCTCCAACACCTACTTTGAGTCCTATTAGTGTCTTTTCACGGTTGTTTTGTCTCGTTTCATTCCTGTTCTGTTGTTTTATTTCTAGTTTTTCTCATTTTGTGTCTCGTTTTTGTCCTTCTGTCCACAGTTTCGTCTCTTTGTGGTCGTTTAGTGTCTCGGTTTTCTTCATTTCGTGTCTTTCTGAGACACATTTCTCTCTCTGTGGTCGTCTCGTCTCTGCTTACTGATGTTTTTAGAGTTTCTACAAACTCACTGTTTTTCTCTGGACCATCCACATCATCAGGATGTGTCACCGTGCTGGTTTGTCCTCTGTTCACCGTTTCTGAGCCGTGCTGCATTCATTCATTGATCCAGTTTGTTTGCCGTCTGCCTCTCTTCTGGAAACACCGCCTGCAGTTCATCTGAATTTCTGTCACACGTCTGTCGGTCGCTGCTCAGCCGCTGGAGGCTTTTTGTTTCTGCTGTGGATCAGTTTTTGGTTTTTACAGGATCCGCTCAGAGCCGACTGGGTATTTTTGGGTCATTTTTCAATGATTTTAATTAAATATTATTGTTTGTCCCGATGAAGCCGTACACGATGCGTTCAAAGACTGTCGGAGAATTCTAAATCTGATGAAAAGAAAAATAAAAAAACTCCGGCAGCAGATTCTGGGGTTCAGAGTTTATTTAAATAGACTTCAGTCGTCGGTATGTTGATGTTTAGATGAAATCCACCCAGGAGATGATCTTGATGAAAACGTCTTTGATTTGTGACAGAATGACGTTTTAGGACCAAGTCAAGCTGTCAAAGTGTTTCTAAAACCTGTGAAGCAGCCTGGAGGAACCTTTGAGGCTCCATCAGGACATGAAGACGTTTGATGTGGTCTTCACTCAGAGGAGCGTTTGTTGTTTTGGTGGCCGTCGTTGGTGTTACAGGCTCTGAACTCGGTCGTCTTGTGGCTCTGGTGGGTCGCCGGTTCGACTCCCGGCGGGCCGACCGGCGAGGAGGAGGCAGCCGGTGATGATTGCACCGAGAGCAGCTCCGTCCTCGTTATGGAGCGAGATCAGGCGATCGTGGACGGAAGCAGGTCGTGAAGCAGCTGCTGAAGTGAGTCCTGGGAGGCTCTCAGAGCCGCCGGACTGATGCTCAGACGGTTTCAACTTTAACGCTAATGAAACGTTTGAAAGCCGTCGTGGGAAACACGTTAATGCTCCATCAGTTATTCTGTTTATCTGTTTATCACCGTGTCTGTGTTTAGCATCGCTCTGGGTTTGATTTATTTATACCGTCGTACAACCAGGAGGCTTTAAAACAGACAATAAAGCATCAAACAGGACGAACAAGGCAAGAAAACATTATTATAGAAAATAAAAAACATTTATAAACAACAATAAACCTGCAAAAACACAAGCTTTCTTAAAAAAAGAAAAATAAATATATATAAAGAGGTAAAAGATAAAGAAAACCTGAAAAAAACAATAAAACATTTTAAAATGAGAAAAACAGAAAAAAAGACAAATTTTAAACACAAAAAACAAACAAAAATAATACAAGAAAAATTCTGATTAAAATGTGATAAAAAGATAAAAT